AAAGTAAAGGAGATGAAATGGGCGCACTCATGAGGCAAAAAACGCCTCTGTTGCACTACAGAAAAAAGATAAAGGACAAATTTTCGATAACCTTCCTTTCTTTTCAAACCAAGGCTCTTTGGAAAAAGCGTTTTCTACTTCACCATTGCATAATCAAGTTCAAAAAACACCATAGGACTAATCGTCGATTTCACAAAAGATTGCAGAGAAGGGAGAGAAAAAAAAGCAATATCTTCCGTTTTCCGCTCAAGGTCATAACAATTGAAATGGAAAGCGATGTCAAAAGGATAATTGCATTTCAATAAATCAAAGAAAAGAAAAAAATAAAAATAAAAATAAAAATAAAAAGTAGAAACAAAAATAAAAGCAGAAAAAATACGAGAAAAATAAAAACAAATTAGGAAAAAATAAAAAATAGAAATAAAAGTTAAAAAACTAAAGTAGAAAATAAAAGGAAGTGATAAGCGAAAGAAAAGTAATTTGAGCATGCCGTAATACGGAGAAATAGGGACAGAAAACCAAATAAAGTAGGAAAACAGAAGAGAAAGAAATCCACAAATATCTTCAAAAATTAAGCTTTCTCCTCGTTTACGTACATTACACAGATAAGTTGTGAGATGCACTTCTGATCTCAATTCTTTACGCTAGCCAAGGAAGTGAAAACAGATTGATTTAAAAATTTGCAAAAAAAGAGAAAAAAGTTTAAAATTACCCTGTATGATAATATCTTGCAATACCATTTGACCAATCACACCTATTCCGCGTTTCCATATCTGAAATACGCAAAGTTTTGCGCTTCATATCCTTTTGTTAAATATAGTTTTTTGGAATTCTAAAGTTAAAAAACTGTATTTTGCAATACAAAACACAGAGTCATTTCATTCCCCACAATAATTGAAACCTACACCAGCTTATACCTTAATGTAAGAAATATAGGCAGCAGAAAGATTACTGCCCTGCCCTGACGGTCCTTAAATAACCTTTCAATTACAACATACTAAAAAACGACCTTTCTTTTTTAACAAAAACAAATCTCTTCCTTTCCACACGAAAAAGTTTCGCACTTCTGCACCTTCTAATATATACAAAAGTAACAAAACACTAAAAAAAAAAAGTAAATTTCAAACACATCGCAACCAATAAACCAAGTCTAGCCTCAGTTTTCAAGAACAAAAAACATTTCTGTTCTATAATCAACACCCTCAAAGCTTAGAAGCGATATTTTTCGGTTTTCTTTTCTTTCGGTACTGAAATATGCCGAAAACTTCACTCCCTTTACAACTGTAAACAAAACACAGCAAGCAGAAAGAAAAATAACAAAAAATGTAACGGTTAAACGAAGTTACCAAAAAAAAAAATCTGCGCAACTTCTACGTAAAATTAAATGAAAAAATTTAAAAAAAGAGACTAAAAGATTCTCTATCTGTGAAGTACCCAAACTCCTTTGAACTGTGGTGCTGTGAATCACTTGCAAAATAGAAGCCTCATTCTCTGACCAAATAAGATTTAAAAACTATAAATTTTAAAGAAAAAAAATATATATACATAAAAGAACATTATATATACAATATATAATGTATAATACAAAATATATAATATATGATATATAATAAATAATATATGTATTATATGATGTATATTATATATTATATATTGCATAGTACATATTGTATATTATATACTACATATTAAATATTATATTATATACTACATATTATATATTATATATTATAAATTATATATTATGTATTATATATTGTATATTATTTATTGTATATTATACATTGCGTATTGTATACTATCCATTATATATAATACATAATACATAATGTATAATATATAATATACAATATGTAATATATAATATATAATATATAATGTACAATATATAATATATAATATATAATATATAATATACAATATATAATTTATAATATACAATATATAATATATATTACGCATTATATATTATGTATTATGTATTATGTATTATATATTGCATACTGCATATTATATATTTTATATATTGTATATTGTATATTATTTGCTATATATTATGTATTATATATAATATGTTATGTACTATATTATATATATATATATATATATATATATATATATAT